GCTGCACTTTATAGAATGAAATAGGCATATAACCTTAAATAACTTCTACTGGTTACACTGAATATATTCTGATCATGAAAATTTCTTTTATCTTTTACCCCAAACAGATATCAACATATTTGCATAATTTTCTTATACCATTCTTTTCCAGTAATATATTGATTGCCCCTGGTGTTTTTTCGCTTGATCAGGAACAGCCTGCTATTCATGTTCGTGTTAATCTCTTTATTCATTCGGAAGTTTTCAAATTTGTTAGTTATCTAGCCATTGAAATACATTCAGAATTACAATCAGAAGAATAGCAAATTAATATGAAACTACAATCCAAAGGATAAACTCTAATATTGTAAAGAATTATATGCATAGAATAATTAGTAATTTCAGCTACATATACCAAAGTCAAATGAAGGAGAGTTGTAAATTTAAAGAAAGTGTTACGAGGGATTTTGTACGGAGAAACTAAAAGAATAGCAAGTGGATATTTTATTGGCAGGATCACGTTCCAAACGGCCCACATAAACATAACCTGTCAGCAATAACTCCCATCTTAGACGAATGACGCCTGGTGTCTTCTAACTTGGTCTAAATACGTAGGAAACAATTACGATCAGCATATCAATAGTGGAATAAGTTTAAAACACTTTCAGTTTTGTTAATTGTATTATTTTATCCACCTGTCAACTGTTGTTGTCCCTGGTTGCTTCTAAGAGAGATCGATGGACGACATGTCTCCTCTGTATTTATACATTCTACAAATCTATTCTTGCTGTTTTACGAAATGCTACTCTCTGGATGTTTTCGATATACCGAGTGTAACAGATTAGTTGTCCATGTATACATGTATGTATTACAGGTTAGAAAGTTCGTTTTCTAACCATGAAACACGGGTTCGAATATCATCATTATCGATCTGTCAGGGAGGAGATTTTCTAATATTATCGATCTGAAGCGGGGAGGATCCCAGCGTATGGCGCCAGAGAAAAGTGACTTCAAAGAATAAGAATGGCTTGACCCCAGCCTTGTGAGTGTAACTGGGTAGACGGAACAGTAGGGGCCGTCGATAGCTGCGCTAGCAAGAAGCCACAAGTCATTGTGGGTTTGAGTGTGTTGGTGTTGTTCAGATTGTTGATCATTCTAGGTAACATGCTTCCTCCCAGAAACTGAAACTAGGGTTTACTCAGCATAGTTGCATTATAAACCACAGGTTGGCGCTGTGGGTGTTAAACAAACACAAATGAGCCTGAGCGTTAGTCTACAAAAAGGTTTTCTCGAATACGTGTGAACCACTATATATATATATATATATATATATATATATATATATATATATATATATATATATATATATGTAGAGAGATAAATTATATATATATATATATATATATATATAAACACACACACAGACACATATATATATATATATATATATATATATATATATATATATTATACGTTCACTTACGTTCTAATACCCTTGGGAAAGGTGTGAATCCTCTTCTTCTCCCTCCAGCTATGGGTAAATAGGAGGACAGACTAGGTTCTATAGCCTTAGATGGCAACTGGTCTAGGAGAAGGACAACTCTGAATTCAAAACCAGCGGAGGGTCGTTTGGGGACCCTGTGGCACGTAGAGCACTAGGTCTCTGTAATCGCCCCTTCAAAAAGTGCGGATGGTTCTGCACAAAACCTTCACGATTATAATCAAATCTCATGTGCTGTTGTTAGGCTGTCGGTTTCCTGCGAACTGATCTGCTTGACTCTCCCTCATACGTCGAATTCGACAAAAGAGTCATATATATATATATATATATATATATATATATATATATATATATATATATATATATAATTTATTTGAATGTAGAATCGAGGTAGAATGTAAGTTCTACATTTAACACCATCACCTGTTAAGACACCAGAGCTGTTGAGACAAAATGGCTATTTTTGTTGTAATTTGATAACATATTTATGTTATAATTTTCAAATGAATAATATGTGTTCTACTCTATATTGTGCACTCTATTAAGAGGAGTATTTTGGGGGTATTGAATTTATACCGTATACAATACACTAATCCTATACTTGTGTATATATATATATATATATATATATATATATATATATATATATATATATATATATATATATATATATATATATATATATATATATTTTTTGAAAAAATATGATTCCTTTTGTACATAAGAGTTCTCATGTTTCAAAAATGATAGCTGAAACGCTCAATATAATTATTAAAATTAAATTGAATTAAAGTATCAAGCCTTGTTTCATCCTCAAGCGAAAATTTAGGAATAACCAATCTTGAAATTTACCCATCCTTATAAGCATGTTCGTTCGCAAAATTAATTACTATGGAAACGGATGGGGCAATTTTTTTTATAAGGGGTCTCGCAGTTAATTTTTATGCACATATCAGTCACCTTTGAAGAGAAGTCAACCCGAGGTATGGTGGGGTATCCATTTCAAAGCGGATGATGGCATTCATGTACGCACATCGTCTGGTCAGTTACAGCGAATATCTTTTGTCGTGAAGTGTCTAGAGAATTTTGCTTTATTTTATTTTTAGTTTGTAAATATTTACTTTCGAGACGTAGTAATAAATCTATAGATATAAACTGGATATTTTATGCACAGTGCGTGAAAAACATTGCATTTGTCAGTGTAAATCTTTTCATAAGTATATCTATAAACGACCTTTTAATGTTATAAACAAGATCGTCATATTTGAGTAAATTCCGAAAATGATTACATTTCACCGTTACGTCACGGAAGAGAAGCAAATATGTAAAAACGACAATTTCAAATCGAATCTCCTTCTGCTATATTAAGTAATAATGACGTGGAAACGTGCAAAGAATGCAATGTAAACATTCTCATTGAAATGGTTGTATATTACATGCATAATAAAATATTTTTGCAAATAAGCAAATATTTTGTTACGAAAAGCGCAGAAATCGTAGATTCCGGAGCAAATGTGAAATTAAATGTGGGAAAGCAACACTTAAGCATCAACAACTGCAAAAGAAAAATAAAACAAAAATAAAAAATATAATAATATAAGGATTGAGTTGCCTTTATTGTCGCCATTTTTAATGCATAATTTTGTTTATAAACGCTACCTGCACAAGAGCTTTTATGTGAATTCCAACAAATAAATAAACAAACTAACCAAATTTAATGGAAAAAATTGCTGATCTTAAATCCCGTGTCCTGTCAAAGTATTTATTTTCTTTGTTTAATTCGTATTACTTAAACTTGTTAAGAAATTTTTCTTTCTCTTTCGAAAAATATTGTCTCCAATGCAGTTCGCTGACGTTGTTACTTTTCCCTTTCTGTGATGACTTTGAGAGTCCATGCTTTCCATAAAAGTAAGCTATTTAGGTTTTTATTCCTTATTTTTTTACCATATACCAGAAACACGATTCTATCTTTATTGTCATCTTTCTCATTTATTTCTTCTGAGGTTGGCTATTTATTCCATTTTCTTTTGTAGGTGTAGAATTTAGCGATATATTTTTATTTTAACGAATATTTTACATATTTCTATATTAATTTAAACATATATTTTACATATATTTATTTAAACATATATTTTACATATATTTATTTAAACATATATTTTACATATATTTATAATTATTTATACATATTTTACATATATCTTACAGAGATTTATTTAAAATATATTTTACATATATTTTACATATATTTATATTTATCTTAACATATATTTTATATATATTTATTTACGTATATTTACTTACATATATATTTACATATATTTATTTAAACATATATTTTACATATATTTATATTTATTTTAACATATATTTTACATGTATTTTACATATATTTATTTACATATACTTATTTACATATATATTTACATATATTTATTTAAACATATATTTTACATATATTTGTATTTATTTTAACATTTATTTTACATATATTTATTTAAGTATGTATTTTATTCATATTTATTAATATATTTGAGTGCAAAGTAAAACATTTCTTCTAAATGTTCCCTTTTTCAAAATTTTTCAAACATTCTGATTTGTTTATCGTTATATTTATTGAAATATCTGACTGTACTGGTAATGGTAATTATAGCATTAGCAATTTCCCTATAAGGAAACTTTTGGAATACATTGACCGAGCAGCCAGTACTCCTATCTATTGAACTTTATAAAATATTTTTCTTCAAATATTTTTCTAAAAAATAGATTTATCAGTTCTGGAAACTCTTAATGTTATTTCCTTTACAGTTGTTGATTTTCCTTCCTAAACTTTTATTTGATTTAGTGGGAAATGCCACCATCTTGAATATGTTATTATTTGCTCTTCGAGTTACAAGGGCTATCTGATTTAGTTGTTGCTGCTGTTTCTAGTCCTCAAGAGACGTGGTTTCTGTTTTAGTGATTCCTAACTATAAATCATAGACAATGGTTGTATACAGTTAACAGTTTAAATATATTTGCGCGGGATTGGTGCTCTATGCATGGCAGCCATATAAATGTCTAGATCTGCCGAGACGATTTAAGAACATAACGCGAGATTTCAGGTAGATGTTTTAGTTTCGTTGCAATTTGAGGTGTTAGGCAAAACTACTTTTGGCTCAGACTGTGGAAACTAAGACGTATATTATCATGGTCATTTACGGATTTTTATTAATATTCAACATATTCCATCCTATTCTCCCCGACAAAAATTACTTGCCCTTTTATATTAACTCTCTTCTTCGACGATAACTATTCTCTAAATTTCAAGTAATTTTCCCTACCACTATGATCTTTTCAATTTATTCTTCATTTCAATTTACAAATAATATATATTCCGACCAGGATCCAATTTATTATACATTTCTTACTTTATCCTTCTTTGCTACTTATATTGGAATCCATCTTCTTCATCTTTACTATTATTCGCAATATCTTAACCCCACCCATATCGCACGTTGCTCTTCATCTACTTATTGCAATGCTGGAATGGATTAGGGAACAAATTCTTGTTCACCTCCCCAACCCTTTGATGAGCTCGACAGTCTTCTCTAAAATCGGTAAGCACGTGACCATACTTTCTTGCCGTCAATCGCGACATTTTTTGTCTCTCTCACACGATTGCCCTACGGAAGAAATGACCAAGTGTTGAGTCACCATCAATTGACCGAAATCTTTGGAAATGACTTGCCAAATAAAAAGAACTTGTTCGCATCCAATGATTTTCGTTTCGTCTTCGATATACAGTAACGAATCTTGTCTATACACGAGGGTAGGGCAGGTTAGCACTACACAGATATACAGACATAAGTGTGTGCGCCGAAAGGTTTTCAGATAGTTCCCTTTCCCCAAATCACTATTAAGATGTGTGCCGATTGCAATGCTAAGGGGGGGGGGGAGCGAGCAGAGAGATTTTCAACAAACTCGGAAATTCAAATACTCTCACGTCTTATTTCTCATACTTTGCTTCTGAACTTATTTTTCATTCGATTGTATCTCGTTTTATTTCTCTTCGTATTAACTTACCATTTATTTTTCTTTCTACTGTCTCACTTCTCTAAACAGCTTCATTTTGTCTCATCTTATATTTTTTATATTTTTCTCTCAGCTGTTCTTTCTTTTCAACATTACTAAAATCTTATTCGACTTCGTCTTCTCTCACGACTTTTGTCTCATCCTCTTCTCGCATCTCTTATTTATATTCTTATTGTCTCAACATTTTTTCTCTTCACCAATTTTCACCACTCATTTCTATTTATTTTCCCGCCTTTTATTCCTCTTCCTCTTGTATCACCGCCATTTTATTCTTCCTCTTCTATCACCTTTATCTCTTATTCTTTTGTGTTTAGTTTCTTATCTATGGCCTTTCATTTCTTTTACTATTTTCTCTTTCTCTTATTTCTGTTACTGTTATCTAATTTCTTATTTTTTGTTGTTGTCTCAACTTTAATTCTCTTCATCGTGCTTGACATCGTATTCACTATTCTTTCGCGTCTAATTTTCCATACTCTTCTCTCATCTTGTATGAAGCTCCATCTTTTTAACGTTTTTTTTTCTTTTAGATTTTATATACTTATTGTCTCATCTCTTATTTCTGTCTCGTCTCATATACGTATTCGTATTGCATCACTTCTTATTTTGCTTCCTGATATTTCATCTAATTTCTTTTCTCATCTCATACATCTTATATATATTTCCGATATGATTACCTCTTCTCTCATCTCCTATTTATCTTCGCATTGTCAGAACTTCATTACTCTTCATCCTTTTTCTTCTTTTATTCTTCTTCCTCTCCACTCACTTCTTATTTCTCTTTCACTTCTCTCATCACTTATTCATCTTCCTATTGTCACAAATTCATTACTTTTCATTCTTCTTCTTCTTCTTCTTCTTCTTCTTCTTCTTCTTCTTCTTCTTCTTCTTCTTCTTCTTCTTCTCCACTCGCCACTTATTTCTCTTCCATTTCTCTCATCACTTATTTTTCTTTGTATTGTCACAACTTCATTACACTTCATATTTTTCTTCTTCTTCTTCTCTTCTTCCTTTCTACCTGTTTCTTATTTCCCTTTCTCTTCTCTCATCTCTTATTTATCGTCGTATTGTCACAGCTTCATTACTCTCCATCCTTTTTTTTTCTATTATTCCCTTCCCTTATATCTATTCTTTTTCACTCAAATCTAGATTCTTATTGTCGGATAAGACAATTTTCTTTTCCTATTTTATCTCCATTCATTTTTCAACTTACAAGCTTACCTCTGTTTTATCTCTTTCTTCTCTCAATTCAAATTTCATAACATCTTCTCTCACGTTTTTTCCTCTTCCTATTGTTCCACCTCACATTCTATGAGGTCTTGACTCACCTCTTTTTTTCTCTTTCTTTTGTAGTACCACTTAATTCTCTTACGATTACCTCACCTAATTCTTTCGCTTCTTATTTCTTTCCTTCTCTTCACAACATTTATTTCTCTTCCATTTCTCTCATCACTTATTTATCTTTGTATTGTCACAACTTCATTACTCTTCATATGTTTCCTTCTTCTTCTCTTCTTCCTTTCTACCTGTTTCTTATTTTTCTTTCTCTTCTCTTATTTATCTTCTTATTTTCACATTTCTTTTACTCTTCATCCTTTACCTTCTCTTATTTTTCATCGTCTCCCCTTTAATTTCTCTTCATTTTGTCTCACTCCTTATTTCTCTTCTAATTCTTTCACGTCTTATTTTTGTGCTCATTGTCACAAATTTAATTCTCATCCTCTTGCCTCACCTTTAATTTCTCCGTCTCTTCTCTATCTATCTTTTTCTTTTCTAACTTCTTATTTATCTGGTATATTTTCATTCTTATTGTCTTATCTCTTAATTCAATCCCAATCTTCTCACCCCTTTTCTTATCTCTCATTTCTCCCATCTTATATTTTTTCCTATTTTCTTACCTCTTATATGACTTCTTATTGCCTCGCCTCGTACGTTTATTCTTACTTTCTCAGTTTTATTTCTCGTCCTCTTTTTAACCACTTATTCCTCTTCTCTTTTCTCTTATTTCTTTCCTCATCTCATGCCTCTTATTCATTTTCCTATTTTCTCTCCTTTTCTTTCTCTTCCTCTTGTCTCATGTTTATCTCATTTCGTCTTCTCTCACAGGAATTGAAACTCAGATGATGATTCTACACAAGTATACGCGTATACGATTATTGCTTACGGTCGTTAGCCCTATGTTTGTATATTACCTATATCGAAACGATGTATATTTATTGATGTGAGAGCACATACAACCGTGATCCTAGGGGACAGAGAGTCACTTGTACGTCGGACGTACACATTTGATTTGTCATAGTGTATATATATATATATATATATATATATATATATATATATATATATATATATATATATATAATATACATATATATATATATATATATATATATATATATATATATATATATATATATATATATATATATATTTGTGGGGGGGGCACTTTTACATGCGTATTTGCAGAGAATTGCCAAAAATATGGTGAATAAACCTAAATAAAGAATTCGAGAGCTAGGGACAATGACATATAAATGTAAACGAGAAAACTTATATGAAGTAGAAATAAAAGGAAAATATTTTTCATTGCGTACTTAGATGAACTTGAATAGGGAAATAAATAAATGAAACGAAAGTGAAAGTGAAAGAAAGAAAGAAAGAAAGAAAGAAAGAAAGAAAGAAAGAAAGTAGAAAGTAACAGTGAGTGATTGAAAATTTCTTCCCCCGTGAAAATATCATTTACATAAAGAAAGGAGGGGGGAAGAGTAGAAGAACGAGAAATAAACGAATTTTAAAATGGAAGGTTTGATTTCGGCAAAAGAAAAGCTCTGATAATGATCTTTTTTTGCGGGAAGCGAGAAATATCTAAAAACGAAATGTTTGATTAACTAAGGAAATGAATGATTAAACAAATTTACGAACTGCAAGTAAATCATTTAAGCATATACAAAATATAACCTTGTACTCAAGATCGGAAATACACAAATCGGATTTATACAATTATCTTGGAGAATTTGTCCTTCATAGGAAATATTGTCAGTGTATAATGATAGTCGTCCATTAAGGAACAGAGATAAACGTCCTAGATAAGCAATTTCTCTAAGTAAATATCAGAACCTTATCTCAAACGTAATCAAAACATGCTTAGAGCTAAGGTAGGAATTGTGGAGATCCACGATCACCAACTGTCTGAATGGAGACGCCAGAGAAGAAGAATTTACAATGTCTGTCAATCCGCGTGACTTAACCCCCCTTAACTCGGGCCACACTTGAAGGACATAGAGATATTATATCTTATTGCAGTCAGCATCATCCCAGGATAGATAATCTGCCCTATATCTGATCCTTGGATATCCAGCAGTTGGATTTGTGCACGAACGATTTGAGAAGAGTTAAAAATTCAAATTTTAAAATAAATGAAATAAATAGTTAGTCTTATTTTAAATTGAGTTTAAAGTAACACAAAAGTTTGTAAATTTAAATTTCTTTCTTTAAATTCCATTTAAAATTTTTTTTTAAACTTTGGAACTGAAGAAATCAATTTTATTTCTTCAAAATGCCAAGTAATCAAAGTCAAAGTGAGATATTTCGTAACGTCAGATTTCGAAGTTACACAGAATTTATGACTAAAAAACTCAAATTAATTGAATTCCCGCGGAATTTCTGATTTGAGAATTCAATTTTTGGCTTAACTGGAGTTTAGGCCCAAATAAGAGTTTCCACCCAAATCAGTCTTTTGGCCGGAATTGGACTTACAACTCGAAACAGAGTTAAACTGAGATTTTTGATTTCAATGGAGTGAATTGAAGAATTCAAATTTATTTCTTCAAATTTATCATTGCTATTTTCTAAGCTGAGCCGTCAGTTTCTTGGCTTTTGAGCCCTCAGAAGCGAGTTTAAAAGTCCGTAATGTAAAAATATAAATAGGTACAAATAAAGTTGCAGAAAAGAAATTTAACCCAGAAATATATATATATATATATATATATATATATATATATATATATATATAGAAATTTGGAGAATTTGTCCTTCATAGGAAATATTGACAGTGTATAATGATAGTCGTCCATTAAGGAACAGAGATAAACGTCCTAGATAAGCAATTTCTGTAAGTAAATATCAGAACCTTATCTCAAACGTAGTCAAAACATGCTTAGATCTAAGGTAGGAATTGTTGCAGGCCCGGTAGGGTGCAATGCCGGTTTATTACGAAGTGGCCTTGTGCCAGACACCACACTATTTACAAACGGATAACGTCAATTGTTCTCGTCCAGCTTCCATTTACAATTATTCGGACTATTGTCCTCAACTTTGTCGCCGTATTTATTACAACTTTTCAGCCGTTGTACACTCCGGCCTTCTTCAAGTGGTTGGAATCTCGAACTGAAACCTTTATATCGCTCACTGGGGTAGACTGTTCTAGTTACACGTGCCATGTTTAATGGATGTCAGTTATTAGCTATCTCCTGCTAATTCACCTCTCCATGTTTTCCACTGTCAGTTATCAGTTATTTTCATGTCAACTCCCCTGTCCATGTTCTCCACTGCCTTAACCGGGTATTGAACTCATTCACTGTATCTAACCAACGCGTTTATTCACTGTGCCATGTGTCCTTGAGGCGGTTAAATCCCATCACGGTTTTCCAAAAACTTATCCACATCACATATGACTTTATCACTGTTTATCACTATGCCAACCACGCATATAGGATTTGCATTTAGAAAACAGCAATAAGTCAGATGGAGCGAAATCTGTTGAGTAAGGATGTGGGGTAGCATATGAAAGATGTAACTGGCTACTTGAGATACTACGACCTGTTGTCCTTAGCCTCTCTCTACGTTTCGATTTAATTAGTTCCTTCAGTTGTCATAATTCTGCCCGTTAATAATTTTTCACACTTTTCTAGGTAGTGTATCATTATTACACCTTCAGAATAAAAAAAAATAATCAATAACCATCATCTTGCTAACAGACGCTGCCCGCTTTAACATCGTGCTAAAAATCCAGAGTGTTTCTAGTGTTTGTTTCGGATCATTGATTCAGGTTCGAAGTGATGAACCTAAGTTTCTTGAATTATCTGGTAAAACTCTCATGTTAAGCGTGTCAGAAGTGTCCTGGAAATGTACTTCACAAACGATGAAAAGTCTCTGCTACCCATCGCTATACAAGCGATGGAATAGTTAGAGGTGTATGCATTTTCAGATGTATGATAGAATATAACAACTTGGAAGATAACAGATTTCAGAATTTGCGTAGGATGCTGAATATCTTTATGCTATTTCCTGGAGCCACGCTTTTTGCTACCGCATTATTTACAAACGGAGCCCATGATATGGCAATATCTTTCACAGATAAAGCTTTAATTAGCGTCTTCTGTATGTGCAGGACGGGATGACAGAACCTTTCCGAGAGTCTATTGTCTGTATAGAGATACAGTACAGAAATAGCGAAAGAATTGCCTAATAGAAAGCAAAATACGTGTTTTATTAAAAGGATGCAAAAATGAGACGTTAAACAATAAAAAATAAAAGATAGATCCTTGTCGCAAAGGAGTAAATCTTCAGAGAGAGAAAAAAAGATTAAGAAAGCGAGATTAAGCAGAAAAGGGAATACGTAAGGTGCATGGAAACAAGTGGAAAAAAAACTGAATATTTTGAGATAAAAGACCGAAGAAATATAGGTGTGGAAATGTCTACAAGAAAAAGATGAGGGAGAAATTGTTTGACTTTGAAGCACAGGAATTAAAAATGGATATGTTCGTTGAAAACTGGGAGATAATGAAAGAAGGATTAATCAAACTTATATCTTTCAAGATATATCCGCCAATGTGCTAAAAATGAAAATATTAGATTTGTGACTTTTACAAGGAAAGTGAATTGATGTGTGACAATTGTAAGCAAAGTCAATTGCTGGTTCCAAACCAATATTTACACACACACACACACACACACACACACATATATATATATATATATATATATATATATATATATATATATATATATATATATATATTATGAAATGGACAAAGTTCGACAATTTTGAGACATTTTTATATTTATACTTTCTTTTCATAGATACAAATATTTAAGTAAATGCTCTGTTTATAATAAACAGTATTAAAAACATTTACCGGCCTGAATGTTAGAGAAATTTTCATTCGACATTTGTTAGAGAGCATAAGGATAAAGAATATTCGTTTTGGGCAAAAGTACTATGGACAGATGAAACAAAATAGAGTTCTTTGGTCATAATTATCGAAATCATGCGTGGAGGAAGGACAGTGAAGCCTACTTAGCAAAGAACACGTTGACAACTGTAATGTTTGGTGGTAGCAGTATCATGATCTGGGGCTGTTTTTCTGCAAAAGTTGTTGGCAGAATATCAATAATAGATGGCAGGATGAATGCCGAAAGCTACCAGAAAATTCTGCAAGACAATTTAATTCGTTCTGTTGAGAGACTTCCGTTACCACCTGATTGAGTTTTCCAACTGGATAATGATCCTAAGCATACCGCTCGATCTACAAGGAAATGGTTAGCTGAAAGTAACATAGATGTTTTGCAATGGCCAAGTCATTCCCCAGACTTGAACCCAATCAAGAATTTATGGCGATATTTCAAAATTCAAATTGGGAAAAGAGTACCAACAAATATCAAGAATTTGAAGACAATATGCCGAGAAGAATCGGACAAAATACCACTCAATGTGTGCAAATTATTAGTTGAGACGTACAGGAATAGACTGGTAGCTGTTGAAATCAATAAAGGATATTCCACAAAGTATTAAATTAAGTTAATATGCTTTTTTTGTACGAATGCTTTTTTCGTCAGTTAAAATGAAATAAAATGCATTGATTTCTGTTAGAATAAGAATTAATTAAGTTTATTAGTATTTTTTAAATAAAATGTATCTTTACACATAAAATATATCCAAATTTGTTATAGTTAAGTCTTTTACATTTATAAAAACACAATTTTTCAAATGTACGAATATTTATTTCCCCCCACTGTATATGCTACATCTGGGCTAAAACATGCTTGTCATAGGAAGATAGATTTCTTGAGTGCAGCCGCTATCATAAGTGATTTTGTATCTACAAATCCATCAAGAGGTTTTA